GCCATTCCCAAGTCAAGGGTCGTATATACTGACCCAATAGCATATCTTGAAAACTAGAGCCAATCAACAATTTTAAGCATCATTTTCGTTCTCAGTGACCCAGAATTAGTAAAGTTTGACTACAGCCAAAATGCTTCTGAAATAAATGTAAAGCAGTGTTATTTAATGACCTGTGTAGATATTGAGATTCAAAAAGTTAAAGCTTTATAGCGTCCACGTCACATGTCAAAATATACAAAATAACTATCCTTAAATCAAACTCCAAGTTCTCAAGCAGCATTTTCTTTTCCTGACTTTAAATTGATTGTCTATGGAAACACTTCTTTTTGTTTTTATGTGTGCATGGTAAAATGGTGGACAGACATTTACTGGTGAAAATCGAATTCTTCCAACCCTACCCATACTGCTGAGGAAGCATACTATGTTTTGGACTAGTCACTTCCTGAGTGCTGGCTGACTAGAGTAAAAGTTCAGATTTGACCCTTCATTAACTCCCATTCATCAGTTGGCCAGCTCTGTGCTGCTTATACAACTGTTTTAGAAGCCATAAGTCAGGAATAGCAAAAATGATCCATGGAAATAATTGGCCTCAGCAGAGTCTGTATTCACACTAACTCTGAGGCAAATGTAGCTTTTCTTATAGTCTTCTCCTGCTTTGGAGAAGACAAATAGTATGACACTTTGCTCTTGCATGTATATTTTTCCATGGTCGTTAAAAAGTGATAACTCAAAAAACCTTGGCATGTATCCATACAGTATAAATATATTGGGTGGAACAGGGGGAAATATTTCAGTGAAACCATACTTTCCACTCAGTTTCGGCGCTGCAGTGCTTCTTAATGACACTGGTTCCATACGGTTTTGCCTGATACTGTCCAAGATCTATTGCTGGTTGTTTCCTGAAGAACTATTTGGATAGTCTTTGCCTCAGTGAAACCACTTTCATCTATCCTGTAATGAATCAAAATGCAACAGAATACGTCATCGTCTCATGAGTCTTTCTAACCTAAGACATAATGATGAAGTGTGCTTTTTCCATTCTGGGGTAAGAAATTGGCTGATTGTTTGTTTTTGAATCTTGGATTCCAACCTCAGTTTTCTGAACATCTAAACCTCTGGTGGACAGGCTGTTGTACAGTATGTGTGAACTGGTCTCTGACTGCCTTAGTGATCAGAAAGTGAGACAAACCAATGTCTAAAGCATCCTCTCCTCCCATCTGTAATCATGTTAACATTCCTATGGCAACAGGAATTGCTTAGGTGGAAAAATAATATTGGAAAAAGTACTGAATGTATTCGTAGTTCATTTTAATGTGACTTAAAAGGGAACCCAGTATCACAGGGCCGGCCAGCTTGCTGAAGACCAACAGTGCTGTATGGAACACTGTTTTGAGAACCTCTGGTCTAATCTGAGTACTGACTTTCAAAACTCTATGCTAAGTTGTTCTGTTTAATGTTTCAGTATAAATGTTCTGAGGGGTACTACACGTCAAACGTAACTTGTATTTTTTCATTATTCTAATAGAAATTAGCTAAAAGATTAGTTTGAAAACTTCATGAGGTTTAATTAGTCTAACATTTTAGGTTTAATATAAACTAGGTATAGAGCAATAACTGATTAGGGTTGGCAAAAATTGATTTTTATATACTTTTGATAATATCCGTGTTTTGTTTTTCAGATTTTCTATTATTGATTTTTACATTTTCACAGGAAATTGAGGGGTGTCAATAATTATTCAATAGCAGTAGACATGGAGAGTCAGAGTGAAAGCTTTATAACTTAAAACACAAATTGTCAAATATCACATCAAAATATACAAAGTAAATAGTCTTAAACTCTAGCATCATTTTTCTTTTCTTTATCTTCTCACATCCTCAGTTGCATAAGGCGTTCACCAGTTTCCACCATTTATTCTGGTCTTCTACTGGTCTGTTCAGGCTTCTGAGTATCATGTTAATGGATTTGGCTTCTTTGTGCATTATTCTACATAATGTTTCTCTAGGTCTTCCTCTTTTTCTCTTTCCAAGTGATGTCCATATTATAACTTGCCACAGAAGTCATTTTGGTGATGTCCTTAAAGCATGGCTTAAATAGGTCCATTGTTAACTTTCCATATTTGCTGTATGTTGGTTTGCTCTCCTTTTTGAATTTCTAATATTGCAAGAAGTTCTTTCCAGTGGACTGTGAAGAGCTTCCTCAGGCATTTACTTTGGAATGAGTTGATCTTCTTCTCAATTTCTTTCATCTATTTCCATGACTCTTCTCCATAAACTGCTAATAGCTTTTTTTTTAAAAGGTTTTTGTGTCAATGACAGTTTTGAAATCTTTTCACGTTTATGAAAGTTGTTTGTTGCTTTTGATATTGATTGTTTGACATCTAGCATGGCATCACCAGCATTGCACTTATCACTTGTTTAGAAATGACGTGCTATTTCTAGTGTTTCTTCATCCACTCTAATGGTTACTTTTGGGACATTGATAGCAATATATTTTGTCCCCCCCCCCCTTGTTGATGAACAAACCAACTTGTTCTGCTGTGTCTGCCAAAAGCGGTCTTGTCTTCCATTAAACAATAAGTTAGATCAAGGGTTCTCAAACTTTTTTTTTTTTTCGTTGAAAATTGCTGAGGGTCTTAGCGGACCACTTAATGATCTATTCAAATGTTGTTTGTACCATTAGCTAACTATTGTAAAGCGCTTTGGATTAAAGAGCTATATTAAAAAAAAAGTGTGGTTTTTTTTTTTATTCTACAAATAAAAGCACACAACTCGTATTGTAATATTAGTGGTCTTTACTTTATAATGCGATGGATGTGCCGTCTCTCCCCCACAGTGGCAGACCCCAAGCTGGGGCTGGGAAGGAGGAGGGTCTCTCCCCAGCAGCTGCTGCCCTGGAATTGTGGGAAAGTCGCCTCTTTTTCTGGCCGCCACAGCCCTGCATGTCCCAAATTCCCCCCCGCCCCCTCTTCTGACCCCACTGCCCCCTCCCACCTACCTCCTATTCCCCCAAGGCCGCCACCTCACTTTACATGTGCATCTTCTCAGGGGCCAGGCACCTAATTAGTGGAGCCACACCTGCGCAGCTCTGCTGTTTAGGTGAGTGGCCCTTAATTCTCTTGTGTGTGGCCCCCCACGCGTGCACCTTAGAGAGAACTATCCGTGGACCACCTAAATGGAGCTCGCAGACCACAGGTGGTACATGGACCACAGTTTGAGAACCTCTGAGTTAGACTAAACAGGACAATATTGTCAACAAAAACAAGGCCATCGAACTGTGCTTCATTTGTCCATAAAATTCCCTGATTGCTTTCTGCGGTTACTTTCCTCATGACAGTGCAAAACAATAGTGGGGACATAATACATCCTTGCCTTACTCTAGTTGTCACTGCAAACCATTAGCTGATATTGTCACAGTTTGACTGCACATTCAGCATCATCATACATCCTTGATTACTTTAATTATTTTTGGTGGTGTTCCATAGAGTGCTATAAGTTTCCAGAGACCGCCAGGGTATGCTGTCAAAAGCCTTCACGAAATCTATAAAACTTATCACGAGTTTCTTTCTGCTTTGTTTTATAGTATTTCTAACAACAACAATATGGTCTGCCTGTGAGCTCAGTGGTCTAAAACTGCTTGTTCCTCTCTAAGTTGACTATTTCCTGATACATACCAGGATGATGTTGCACATGATTTTCTTACTTAGTCTATCTGTAAACTTTGATTTTTATCAATGGAAGTATTTGTCGGTTTGCATGAGTGGTGAAATTGACAGTTTAACATTTACCGAATTTAAAAAAAAAAAAAAAAAAAAATACAAATCCTTTCGAGCCTACTAATTTAATATTATCATCTCCTTTAGAGGAAGGACTTTCACGCTGTGTACCACTGACCTATTTAGCCACTACAGTTGAGGTTCTTTGGGAACATGACATTTACATGGCTGTCTGTGTGTCTGTGTGTATTTGTCAGGCATAATGTTATAACTTGAATGGAAACAGCAAGAAAATACTTGCTGTTTAGTCAATAATGGCTTCACTGTAATGAGTGGTACCAAATATTTCATTAGCATTAATAAAGAACTGTAATTCTATAGTAGGTGGAGGATAAAGAGCTGCATTACTGTTTCATGGTGATAGTGGATGTGAATTATCTTGATTTTTCCCAAACTCCTTATTTTTGTACTGTTAGACTCTGATTCAGGAAAGTGTCCCTATTCAGAACAGCACTTAATCTCTTGCTTATGTCCCATTGAAGTCCATGGGATTTAACTATGTGCTTAAGTGCATTCCTGAATTGGGATCTTAATGACTTGTGCACTTCTTTCTATTTTAGAAACAAGTCTGAATGGGACTAATCTGTTTTAAATGTTGACATTGCTCAAGATTTGAGGATACATTGAAGTGTACTGAGATCCATTGTAGCTTGGTACAATATTTAAAGTATCTTATTCTGAGTCGGAAGGCATAGTTCAGAAACTTTGACTCCATTACCAAAGTATCCCTGACACACAAGCTGTCATGGCTCCTTTTTGTAGTTGTTTTGATCTGTGGTGCCAATGAGCACATGGGGAGCTCTTCTTCTGTTGCTCTGTGCATGCGTCGGTGCTTTTACTAACACCTAAGGGGTGTGGAGTTGTTGTTTGGTGGTGGTTGTTGCAGTTGTAACTAAGTGTGCGAGCACATAATGGGATCACAGTTCTAATATACTGTACCATGTTAAAATTGCAACCAACAGAAATATGTAATTCTTGGCCGTGTGTTTTGTAGGTGGATGGAGGTCTGTTTGGTTGAAGAACTGCCACCCACTACTGAATTGGAAGAAGGGTTAAGAAATGGAGTTTACCTGGCCAAACTAGCAAAGTTCTTTGCCCCTAAAATGGTCTCTGAGAAGAAAATCTATGATGTGGAACAGACACGATATAAGGTAACAAGTTTCGTTGGCTGTTGATTAAAACCGAGAGTTAAATATTTGTTGCTCCATCTTTCCCACTCTTTGTTTTAGCACTGGGCGTTGCAGAAAGCTGAGTACTTGTTTCTAGCATGTTAATATTTTCTGCATCAGTAGACTGTTGTGTCCTAATACATATGGAATTCTACTCCTAGTTTCACTTTTTAAGATCGTTGTATCTTTAGATAGGAACATTACTCTTACCTTTCTTTCTCCCACCAGTTGCGCACACACACATTACTGTATAACTCCCCATAGTCCAATGAAGGACTGACTGTGGTCACCAGCTGGGACATGAACTTGTAACACTGAAGAGCAGGGAGGCAATATGATAAAATAGGAGTAACTACTATACAGGAAAAACATGATAGCTGTACTTAAGGTTTTTTAAGACCAAAAAAAAGTGCTTTCAGCTCCAGGGAAAACTTTTTGGTAAGCTCACAAAGTATTACCAACTGTAAAATTACAATCCATTAGGAAATAGGGGCCTAAAGTCCTATTCTCTTTATTTAAAAAAAGTTACCAAGTTCTTACATGAATTGCTGTATAATTTGTTAGCAAATATCCTCCTTATGAGATCTGCATGTTTAAATATCAAACACTTCATCATGGAGGAACAAAAATCAGTCAAACAAATCAAGCTCTGCTGTTATAATCACAAGCTGCATAGTTACTTGGTGATAATGCAGAATGCATATATATGCATTAGTTTATTTGGGGACCTCCTTTAAGAGCTGCTTTACTTCAATTTGCATAAGAAGACAGCTGGAGAAGGCAAATTTTTAAGGTACATCTGTTTTGGGGTGTTTTCTGTGCAGGACCAAAATCTGTTAAGGATCTCATGTGATTAAAAAATGTTTATATAACTTAAAAATTATGCTTATGCTTTTAAAAGATTAAAAATTTTCTCTTGCTTACCTGCCACCTCTGCAGTTCAGGCTTCTGTCTCTCAAGTGGCCCCTAAAACAGGAGCATTTTTCTTCCCTTCTTTTGTTCTGTTTTTTAAGTAGTGGTTTTGTCAAATGTTAGGGGAAAATGGCCCTTTGGGTCCTGAATTTGAGGCTTGAAATGTAGTGGTGATCGAACTGATTTTATATTCCATATATTTTAGATGGTAAATATTTGTGACTTACAAGCTTGTCTACATGAACACGTATGGCGTCACGAGCTGTGGTGTAAATTTATATCCTTCTAGGGTGCTGCATGCTGACTCTGTGGACCCTGTTGTTGCACAATTTAAAAAAAAAAAATGACCCTGGGAACTTTTAGTACATAGCAGCAGGCTCCACGCAGTCAGTCAATGTGCAGCCCGCAGGGATGCTGTAGATTTACACCACAGCATGCCGCGATGTACGTGCTTTGTGTAGATGTGCCCCCAAGTTATACGCAAGTCCTGTTACTGAGTTGGAATCTTGAACAGTTTATCATACAGCATTGCAAATCGGATATGGATTTCGGAAGACATAACAAAATACTTTTTTAATTTATGAAAAACTGCAATCTTTCAAAAGAAGTCTATAGAGGTTTAGACATGATGTTTTCTTTAGTTTCATCTCAATAAAAACTAAGTATTACTGCCAAATATGAAGTCCACTAGAAAATTTGTCATTGCTATTGATCTTAAGGTGGAAGGAACTCCTGATACCACTAGGACAGGCAATATTATATAATCTTAATGTAGATTGACTTTCAGAAATGCTTCATCTTAAATTTTGATGGTTAGTACAGAGAGTCTACGGTACAAATATTCTCATGTGTCATTTTCTCTGTACATAGATACACTGTTGTGTGGTAACTGAAATGATGTATTCAAAGCCAAAAATGTTGAAAACTGCCAGTTCAAGCTCTCTTATCAAACAAAAAAGCCTCATTTTCAGTAGTTATGTGGCTGAAATTAGAAGGATAACTGTTTACTAGTATAATTTACAAACTGGCATGTTTGTGCCTCTTTTCATCATCTTAACTTTTATATGAATTTAGTGTGAATTTTTTTACATGAATTGACAGGCCCTGAGTGTGAAATCGTCTTGCCATGTGAGTAGAGAATTGCAAGCCTTTTGGGAAGCCCAAGAACAACAACAAAAGCAAAATTCTCCATACTGCTTCAGCACTGAGTCAACTCTCACCTAAAGGGGCCTCTCCCATGAAGGAGAAAGTAGTTCATTCCCTATGCTTACAATCATGCTTTCCTTAGTGCCACTGCTGAGACTACAAAACCAGTGCCAGTTGGTGCCAAATTTTTGTGATGTGGCCATGTGCCCACTAGGAAACTGAGACAACCAGACTTCAACTTGCATAGGTCATTGGACAACAATCAAATGGTATTTTTTAGTCACAGTTGACCTAGACTGGATCTGAAAAGCTCTTTTATTCCAAGCCATTATGACTCATAAGACCTTTCATTCAAAGGAATGTGCTAGTGTGGAGTTACCTTCAGACTGAAGCTCGGAGCAGCTAACCAGCACACCTCCAGCTTCACATAGGAAGTAGATTCCGATTGACGTAATCTACAGAGGGGTGGACAGGCCGAACCTGAGTGGTGCTGTGACTCCAACATGTCGTGACCCTGCTTGGTTTGGGGACCTAGTCAAATGTGTTTTTACAGCTATTTCCAAGATTTCACATACTTTTTCAAATTCACGATTTCTGTGACCTAATTTTGATATCGTTGGTTTCTTACAGTGGTGAGACTTCTAAAGTTGCAATCAAGGAGTTGCCTGGAAATGCCAGATGGGCACTTGCATGCAGAATAGGTTCTCAGATATTGCCTGTTGAAATTGGGTGGAGGGATGAATGGTGCTTAGGGAGGCTTTTTTCTGTTGCTTTTTCAGGGCAGGTCTTCACTACAGGGGGGGGGGTCGATTTAATATACGCAAATTCAGCTACGCGAATAGTGTAGCTGAATTCGACCTATCGGAGCCAACTTACCCCGCTGTGAGGACGGCGGCAAAATCTACCTCCGCGGTGGAGTAAGAGCATCGATTCGGGGATCGATTGTCGCGTCCCGACGAGACGCGATAATTCGATCCCCGAGAGAGCGATTTCTACCCGCCGATTCAGGCAGGTAGTGTAGACCTAGTCTAAGTGAGCTATGAGAAGAGGATATCTGAGTTTTGCACATTCATATGTTCATATGAAGCCTTCACTGGGAAATTATGCCTCAGAAGATTTGATTCTAGGACTGTCAATTTTGGAAACTGCTTTTTTCAAAATGAGAACTTGTACTGAAAAAAAATCATTTTTTAAAAAAATTTCTGGCTTTTTATGGGAAATTTCTTTTTAAATGGTCTGCTTTAATCATGTGAAATTAAATAACTTAAAATTTTTCTGTGAATTTTTTGACCAGCTGTGATTAAACGGCACTTTATAGAATAGACCTAAACATGTTCACAGCTCTGATGTGCTTAACATTCACATGCATATATGACATCTTAAACTTACATCAGTAGCAACTAATAACTAATCTATTGTATGATTTCCTGCATACATGAGTAAAAGATGAAAAACAGGCTTTTCTGGTCTCTTTTCAAGGTACCTCCACCTTTTTCCCCGGCCTCCTTTTCTGGAGACTGTTTAGAAAAAATATAGAACCAAGAGCCCAAGAGACCTAGGTCAAACTCAAAAGAAAGCAGAGATTTGTCCATAGTCTTGTCCCATGAAAAGGGTGGGATTTCTGAATCCACACCTGGCAAGCTGGCCAAATACTGAAATGCTTCTTCCAATCCTCTTGAAAACTGTTTGCATCTGAAATGCTTGATTTTTATATAGAGAGCTGTGAGAAACTGGTGGAAGAACTTCCACAATTTCATGCAGAATTTTTCAACATTTCAGGAAATTCTGCCTTCTTCAAATATTGCTTTTCTACAAAACTTAAATGTTTTGCATTAAAATCATGGATACTTCAAATTTCCAACTTAAAATTTTGAAGACTGCTTGTGCTCAGAATGGACTTTATTTAAAAAAAAAGTGAATTTTCAGTGGAAAAGGGCTTGTTCTTTTAGTTTAAAAATTAGTGTGATATTTCAGTTAAGTGGGCCCACTTCTCAAATTCTTGGCAAAAATGATTTTTCATGTGCTCTTTTCTATGTTGCACACACCTCTAATTACTAATCACCTGAACTCCCCAGATCTCCAACTAAACAACTAAACATCTCTTTTCTGTAACAGCCCTGTCTCTCATATTTGTATTCAGGCTTGCCTTGCCCAACTGGAACAGTAGCCTAATAAGCAAGAAGGCATCTATAGAATGCTTCTTCGCCTCTTAACAATGGGACTCTTTGAACAAACTTGCTTGGAAACAGGATTTGGGGCACAGGCATTGGGATTACAAAGTCCACCTAAGAGGATGAGTTGCATGGCATGTAACTGCCTTATGATTTGGCATGCAGTTGAAACATTCTGGCTTTAGGGTCACGTAGTGAAAACTTAGAATTTTATTCACAGGAGAAGTGTAAAATTGTTAAGCAAAGGAAGGTAAATGGCAAAAGAACATAATCATTCAAAATAATAATCTCTCATCTTCCCCCTTCTTCCCTCTTCCATATTAGAGATCGGGCCTTCATTTTCGACACACGGATAATACTGTGCAGTGGCTAAGGGCAATGGAATCCATTGGTCTACCTAAGGTAAGTATTTAAATGACATGACACAATAACTGCCCATGGACCAAGTTGACTAAAACAGTGAGATTATTTTCCCCTTAATTTGCTTAAATAAAATATTGTTGAAAGCTTCAGTACTGGGAAGACCTAGTTCAGGAAATAAATCTAAAGCTTAGAAATGTTTGTTTGCTTTTTGTGTCTTTTGTCTCTTGTCGCCTTCCATCTGCTACTCATAGTTCCATTATTTTGTCCTATTTTCTTCCTATTTATTTCCAGTGACTTTGTTTTTAGTCTATCCTGAATCTTCCCAGTAGATCCCATGGTGTCCTTCCATTTGATTCCCTCGTAATGATTTCTCTGGGTTTTCTTTCATGTTACTTCCTGTCCTCCTTCCCTTCTCTCTTTGCCCCCATCTTACACATTCCCTTTGCTTTTCTCTCCCTTTCTGTGTTGCCCATCAACAGTTTCTCCTGATCAAAGATATTTAATACAAGACTGGGTGGAAGCTTTTGCTGTGGCTACTCTCTGAACAGTGCTTGGTGCCTCTCAGTCACGGAACCAATGGCACTTCTGCGCCTTTATGCATTTGCCCAGGCATCTTGTTAGCCAGCAATGTTTCTTAAAAAGCTGTTTTACTTCTTCATATCTGTAGAACATTAACTCTTATTTCAGACCCTATTGCTTGCTTTAGGCTTGTTCAGTTTATTTGGTGGCTGGCTATGTCAGTTCAACAGACATCTAACTTCTCTTACTTCCACTCTGCCTCCCTCTCTGAAAGGTTTCACTCATGTCATGTCCCCTCTGTGCCAGGGAGGGTCATGTACTAGAAGGGCCAAGAGCTTGCTGAATCTGCCACAAGTGTTGTGACATAATGATATGGAGTGTTGCCTATGACTCCCTGTGGGTACTCTGGGTGGTGAGGCACCTCATTATCACCTGCCCTTAGCATGAGGAAGCTTTGTCTGTATCTAATGGGGAGGACAGCTCCCCAACTCCACTGAACATGGGCAACATAAGCACTCCACTCTAGGCCTTGCAGGCCCTGCTGCTCTCTACAGGTTATTAGGCACATTTCAACCCTCTAGTAGAGCACCTTGACAGTGCTTGCAGTTCTAGATAGCTAATTTGTCTAGTAATGACAATTTAAAGCTATTGTAATGCAGCATCACTGTTCTCTAGAGGGCCCAGTTGGACTAATGAGAGAGTATATATTACTAGTCAGAATAACAATTCTATTCTTTATTTTTTAGATCTTTTATCCAGAGACTACAGATGTCTATGATAGGAAAAACATACCTAAAATGATATACTGCATTCATGCACTAAGGTAACTAGTGATGGGGTGGGGGGAAGTTTTAGATTTGGTGACCAACTTTCAGGCATGTAGTTTCAAACTGGCTTCAGGTAACTGGTGTTCTTAACAGAAGTTTGTACTTTAAAACTTTAGTGTGTCATTGTCTGTTAAGTTTATTGACTTTGTTCTGGGCCATGGGTTTTTGAATACAATATAAGCCTAAATGAATTTTTATTACAGCACTATTGGGCAAATACTTCTGAAGTAGAAGTTTAAAAAAACAAAAACAAACTACTGAAATACGTAGGAGGGCTGTTTGCACGAATCTCCCACAAACACACCATTTGGAAAGTTGACGCATTTATGTAAAATAAAAAACCTCTTTAGACACCTCTCAATCTTCAGACACTAAGCAAAAATCACCTTTTTAGAGTGATGGTAACTTCCTCCAGAACCTGATTAAAATTATAGACTATGTCAAACCACTTGAAACTGTCTCACTGTATTGATTTCCCATTTCTACAAATAAGTGCTGGTACACTTAATTAAGCTTCCATGTTAATACAATGCCAGTAGACATGTGTTGACCAGGGGAATGAAAATGAGGCTGTGCTTTGACACCAAATTAGAACTATTGCCTTCCAAAGTGAAGACTGACCAGTATATACATTCTTAATCATTCATACCCCCAAATTATTTTGCCTCAGGTTTTTAAATGTGTTGGGCAAATTTCTCTTATAGATATCTAGCTAGTTTAGTTGTAATGCAGTACAAAGCCAGGGAAGTTTTGGTTACACCACTACAATGGAACTAAAAGCTTTTTCTGCCTTAAAACTTCTTCCTCTTGATTTAAAGTGCGAGTCTAGAACCTCTGTCTCTGATGTTCTGATCCTGGTGGTGGTGGTAGTAGTAGTAGTATTTGCAGACTAGACTCCCTCCTGGTTCTGTTAAGCTCTCTTGCCATAGATGGAAGCCTTTTCCTTTCATAACTTTTGTTCGTGTCAGGATTGTAAAGATGAGTTTGGGGCATAATTTAACTATTCTGTTTTGTCAGCACTCATAGCTGAGCCATTTGGCATGTCAGTAGCCTTAGGAACTACTAAATGTGCCATAGGTGAAATGTTTTACTTCTAGCATAATCATTGAAATGCTGCTGCTGCTCCTGCAGTCTTGTGTAAGAAGTGTACCTAATACCAGTAAATAAGGTATACATTCAAAGTTTAATGTTTTTCTTTCAAAATGCTGGGAGTTTGGCATTAGCAGTCATCTCAATTCTTTTGCAATAAGTGTTGCCATTTAAATTATTGCATTCTCAGCTCTCTGTGAGCTGAGGGGTGAAAACATTATCTATTAACTGGACAGCATTGCAATGATTACATAAATACAGGAGGGTAGTCAAAAACTGTGTAGCTGGTCTTTCTGTCAGTGAGTGTCTTGTGTAAGCTTGAAATGATTTCCTGAAGTGGACACATGGGGCTCTTAATATTAAGCAGCTTATAAAGAAATGGTGGGCTAAGTTCCATTCCGGTGATGTCACAATCTTTATTCAGATGTCAGATGTTCTCCAGAAAGGGGAATAGAACCAGGCTTTGAAATGGTTTATATTTGCTGAAACTGAAGACTTTAATTGGTTGGTGGGATTGACTAATACTTTTTACCCATATTTACTGTATCTTTTTTTTTATACATTTGCTTCAGCTTTGCATGTTGCTTGCAATAGCAGTGTATCAATTAGTATCTTCCTTCTTGAACAGTGTTTTGCAATGATTTGGTTCTTGAGGTATTCATTTTCCCTTCTGCAGCCTGACCTTGGTCAGGACGCATGCCAAGCCATCAGAGCTGATCTGTGTAGTTTATTGGCTTTCATTCTCAATTTGTTTTCATTTCACTTAAATTCTTCTTGCTATGGTACATATCAGCACGAAGTTACAACACTCAAGTCTTAAAAACAAACAAAAAACAAAATGGTACTATCAACCGGTGATTCTGTGCCATGAATTGCCCACCCTTCCTTTTGACAGCATTTAACTCTGTGCTGCTTTGACTTTATGTGTAAGACGCAGGCGTACAGTCACTGCACTCTGTCCACATTTTCTCCGACCTCTTCTAAAATGCACCGTGACCATGTGATACATTTCTCAACTGTAATTGTCTTGCAGCTTAAGCCCCAACGTCTGTCTTGCATTACACACACAGCTGCATTAAAATAACATTTAAATGTTTGAATTTGCAACATTAAAGTTAAGAAATGCCAGAATTAAGGTTGGCCATGTACCCTTAATTCATCCTCCTTGTGTATGTGCATTATGATAGTCTTTAATTACATGATCATATATTTTTCTGCAGGACCCCAAATGGATTCAATACAAAAGGTGGATGGTGCTCTGGGGGTAAATCATGGTTAAGGTTAAGATTTTGTCACTGTGACTTTTACTAAAAATAACCAGCAGGTTGCAGGCAATAAACAAAAAATCATGGGACTCTGTGACCTGTCTCTTACGTTTAGTGTTTAAAAAAAAAATATGGGAGGGGGTGGATTTGGGGGCAGAGATAGAAATGTCAACTGGAGCCCCATGGGGGGAGAGGGGGGGACTGACCTCCTGAGCCCCACCAGAAGGGTGGGTGGGTGTATGTATGCACGCATGGCACAGACCGAAATCCGTGACTAAATTGTATCCTTACTCATGGTTGTACAGTGAAAAAGGCTATGTTCTGTAGGACCCTATAGCCATTTGTTTCAGAAGTTAGAAGGTATGTCGTGAATGAGGCAGGGGATTACAGAAGAGGATGAACTTCTGCCTAAGGCAACTGAACATTGCTCTGGAGTAGAACTGGATTCTATTCCTGCCTGTATTACAATCCTCCTAAGTGATGCTAGTCAAGTTGCTTAAACTAAACATTTCGGACGTGGACGCTAACTGTTGCTTGTTTTGTGAGAATTCACAATGTGAGATCCTGGTGTTGGATTTGCAGAAATGCTGAGCACTCTCAGCTGCTCCTGAAGTCGATGGGAGCTGTGCTTTAAAAGAATAATGCTAACTAAATCAGGCTCTAGTCACTTCAAATTGAGCACCAGAATTAATAGATGTTCTTGACTTTAATCTCTCTGTGCCTTCGTATCCCATCTGTAAAATGGGATTAGTACCGCCTCACAAAATGTTGTGAAAATAAAATATTTGTGATGCAATCATACTATAGTGATGAGCACTACGAAAAAGCCCATGAGGGAACACTGAATTCTGTATTTGGAGCAGGGTTTGAATGGTGCCCAGTGGATAAGGTCTGTGGCCACATTTTGAACAATAAGGAGAGAACAAAATATTGACCAGCTACTCATTAAGTGCATCCAATTAGTGCATAGAATAAGGAAGGGGGTCGGGGGGGGGGGAGGGAAGGCAATGTGATCATGTAATTAAAGACTGTACCATAATGCATATGCACAAGCAGGCTGAAGTAAGGATGCTTGTGCAACCTTAATCTGGCACTTCTTAACTTTTGAGCAGTCGACTTTGCAACCGTAATAATGTTCTTTTAACATAACTTTTGATCTCTATAAATTCCTAGCTTTAAAAATAAAGAAGTCCAAGTGATGGAATCTTTTTTTCAGGTTTGTTTTTTATGTTGATACTCACATGGCTAATGAGCTGGGTTTGAACCTTTAGATCCATAGCACATACCTCTGCTACTTGAGATAATGGAGTAACTGATAGCAGTAGTTGGTTGTGTCCACTTCAAGTTCCAAACTGCCTCACTTGAATTAAATGCTATGAGTATTGATTCCTGAGGCTTAGTAGGAATACTCACTAATAAGGTTCCCAGTAAACATTTGCCCCATGAGTAATCTATTAACTGAGTCACCCCCACACAGTAAAATGTTCCTTTAAAACCAGTTAGTTTAAATCAGTGTTCCGATGCAAGTTAAATATTCACATTAAAAATTGTCTTATTGCAAAGAATGTGCATTAGGTATGTGTTTTCCAGTGACTATATTCCTTAATACAAAAGAAGGAAGTTGCATTCCTGACTACCCTTGCATTTTATGTAAAAAGCCAATGAAAAGCAAGCTCACAGCACCACCTTGTGGTAAACTCCTCCACGCCAAGAAGAATAGAACATTGACCACATTACTCAACCATGTACAGTATAACTGTAGTTTACACAGGAGAGTGATATCTTACATTTATCAGCCACATTCCAAACCACTTCTGCTCTTTTGCAGTATTAAATATTATATAGTGGTGACTGCTAAAAAGCCAGCATTTCCCAGGCTAACATCTATGCCATTTTTTTTATTGGGCACTTCAGACAAGACTGAGGGCTAATCTATATCAGGATTGCTACAGTGATGCAGCTGTACTGATGTAGCTGCACTCAGGGCCGGCTCTAGCTTTTTTGCCACCCCAAGCAGCAAAAAAAAAAGGGGGGGGGAGGCAGCCGGACTGCTGAAGCAAAACAACAACAACAACAAAAACGGCAGCCTCAGGGAGCGCATGGAGGGCAGTCAAGGTGGCTCGCAGGGGGGTGAAAGGCGGTGACTGCCCGTGGGCAGCCAGGCGCTGCAGCCCACTCGCAGCTGGGCGAGAGGGGCTCCCCCCTCTGGCCTTGGGGTGCCTCTCCTGGCCAGGTAGGCGGAGAAGGTGCTGGCTCAGCCGCTCTTTTAAAGGTGGTTCGGCCGGGCCGGACTGAGAGCAGTGAAGGTGGCGGGGAGTGGCGCATCCTGAGGAGCCCGGCGGCACGGTGAGCGGTGGGGATCGCTAGTTCCTGCCCCCCCCGGTCCGGGGTCCGTGCCCCTGCAGGGTTGGGCTGGGACTGGCGGAGCACGGGGAGCCGGCCAGGGGCCCCCGGAGCTGTGGACCAGACTGCCAAAGCGCCAAAAAAAAAAAAAAAAAAACCCATGGCACGGCGGCTGGAATGCCGTCCCTTACAATGTGCTGCCCCAGGCCTCTGCTTTCTCGTCTGGTGCCTGGAGCCAGCCCTGGCTGCACTGCTGTAGTACGGCTAGTGCAGGTGCTCAATGCCGACGGGGGAGAACTTCTCCCATCGATGTAGGGTTATCCACATGGGTGCTTAGATCAGTTTAACTTATGTCACTCGGCTTTTCCACACCCCTGAGCGACTTAAATTATACCTAAGTAAGCGATAGTGTACAAGCCCATAGTCCTGGCCTTAAAGAGGTTACAGTAAAAGCTTTTCAAAACATTACAAGGGAAGACTAACAAAGCAGTAGTTTGGGAGGACTGCTAATGCAAAGAGACTTGGGTAGTTTGGGGCTTGTTTTAGGTGAATTTTAACTTTTTTCATTAATCTGTTAATTTATTTAATGCCTTCTTGTAAGTTGAGGATGGCAGATGGAATGATTCAGAGTGTTGAAGCAATCTGAAGACTTCCATGTGATGAGATATGATGATGGGATTGGATGCTGCAGGGACCTACTGCCTGCAGAAGAATCTGCTTCCTCTGTCCCAGTGGTGGTGGAGAAGAGGAGAGATGGAACCAGTGGTGCCCAGTGCCCCTTGTAATTAGAACAGAAAATGTCTGTGGCAACTATTAACAAATATACTTAGTAATGTCTCCTACTGCAATTAATGGGCAACTAAAAAAAGACAGAATATACTTGCTGCAATTTGTAGAGATGACGAGGGGGTTGGGGCGGAGGCGCTTAAAAAAAAAATGAGGCAAAATAGCTTACCCCTGTTATAAATATTTAGAATTAAAGTGCCTTGTTTGAAATTTGAGAGTCACTCCACAAAAAAAATCACTTCCATTAATTCTGTTGCCAAAATAAATTCTGGAAACTCCTGACTTTTTACAATTAAAGGCCTTGCACATGGTCAGAAGATGTGAATTTACTCAGCTGTTATCCAGATGGCACTATATAGCTTTAAGAATAATTAGTATGGGTTTTCTTGCTACACCAAAATGAAAACAATGGTTCCCGGAGAGCACTCAATTGCACTGAACTCATTTCAGTTCTCTAAAAGCATGAGAGCACTGAGTAAGCTGAAGAGTTTGGTTGGGCTTTTTGAGGGGCTATTTGAGGTTGAAATACTGAGCACGCTCTCTCAACATTAAATATGCTTAGTCTTAGGAAAATTGAGATGAAACTTTTTCTTTAACTAAAAACATGTGGATTCTGCAAACAGTATTCCTAAGTTTGAATAGTGCATGTGAAAAGGACTACTATGTCTTCAATGCGGTGTCCAGACTTGGATTTAAAGCTGAGTGTTGGAAATACTATCCAATATTTGCTAGTTACTGCATTCCAGCTTATATGGAACATTCCCTTCACCTGCTACTATTTATATGGATCCAATAATATCTAAATTTCCTGTTGCAATACATAAACCAGACAATAGTGATCCCAAATTGTAATTATTAGTTTATAAAAACTTTCACTTAATTTTAATATCATGGGATTCCTGATAGACTAGGTTTTGAGTTTCACTGTACTAATTCTGTATTTTAAAGGGCTATTTTGTATGAATCCAGTATCAAGGATTTATCTTTGTGTACACCTTTCCCTTTCCATATACTGAAATATTTCAGCACAGGCAACAAGTCTTGCACTCCATCTGTGTCCTGTCCCCATCTAAGAGAGCTCCTTGGAATATCTACATCTTTTGAAGATTACTTCTCCCTTTCTATTCTCAAACAGTTTACGATGCTCCATAGAAAATAGTCTGATAGTAAAATTTATCCCATATCTGTCCACAGAAGTCAATAGTTAAAGATGAGTTTAATGTAGTAACATTCTAATTATGTTGATCATCATATAAGCTTTGATTTGATTCTACAAAAAGCAGCATTTTATTGAATATGCAAGTCTCTGGCATTGTGACTTTAGTATTTTTCTTCTTTGCAGTTTATATCTGTTCAAACTAGGTATAGCACCACAGATCCAGGATTTACTGGGAAAAGTAGACTTTACAGGTAAGTCGGTTTTAATTAGTCATATTGTAGATAATCTATTGCATCAATAAAACCTGCTAATATTACTGTTTCTAACAACCTACTCTCTATAATGTGAGGTTTTCCCCTCTCCTCTCCCAACATTCTGCACACATCCTAATTGAAGTGATTGGGAGGCTGCTATTTTTAATGAATGTCAGACTTTGAAAAATGGTGGGGAGGGAATTTACATGCCACCTTTGTTATGGCTTTGAAACTGAGATTCTAGCAAAATAAAAAAACTACTAAGTTAACCAAGCCTTAGCTTTTTAAATTATATAAATTTTAGCTGAGTGCGCTCATCTTTTAATCATTTCCAACTTTCCTTTTTCAATATATAAATAGAGGAGGAAATCAGTAACATGCGAAAGGAGTTGGAGAAATATGGTATACAGATGCCGGCTTTTAGCAAAATTGGTGGTATTCTGGCCAGTGAGTTATCAGTGGATGAAGCTGCATGTAAGTCATCTTTACCATGTTTTCCACCTAATATCTGAATTGACCGTTTTTGCATAAGCTGTTGATGGTTTTGAGAGTCATTTCATTTAAAATATTACTTGGAAGTAACAGTTGTAGTTAGTAGTAATTTTGATTCCTTGTCTAAATTACCATCATTTCCCATATTTTCTACCTTTAATAACTGTCAAGATGTGCACATCTTGACTGAGTAACTGTTAAGTTATTGTCATGAGGGTTTTTTGCTTTTGGTCTTAGAGCTCTTTGGAGCAGGGAATTGTACCTTCTTATGTCTGTCTGGCAAAAATAAAAGTTCATAATTCTTTTATTAACAATACAGATATCTAGCCTTGGGCAAATTGGTTAACCTCTCTGCATTTCAGTTTTTGTGTAAAATGGTATAGGCCATAATCTTCTAACAAATTCCTAAAGGTAAAATGTGGACTATAACATATGCCTATATTTAACTTCAGACACTTGTTAGAAGAATTTGGCCTATACCATTTCAGAGATACAAAACGGAGAACAGAGACATTAATTGTCTTGCTCAAGCCATATAAGTTAACCAGTGATAGAATGAAGAATAGAGCTAGAGGTTCTTCAAATGGCTCTGCATAATTCTATATCTGGGTGCTGCTCCACCTTATGCTGCCTTGCGATGTAACAGTCTGCTAGCTGTGTCAGCTGAAGTGCTGCTCCTCCCTTCAGCATTACATTGTTCTCAAAGTGAGGCTATATAGGGGACGTAGCGCCCTCACCACGCAGTTCCTTCCAACCGAGTGCCATGACCAGATGTGAACCTCTAGTTTCTTTGGAACCAGAGCCTCTTTCTTCTTAGATAGTTAGCATTAGCTGTTAGTGATTTCTTTTCAGGCCTGTGTTATGGTGGAACTTCAAAGCAGAAAAGGCTGGATTTTAAGAGGTGCATTTCCTGCCTGGGCAGTGCGTCAAATGCCAAGGAGAAAGATGTTTGCCTTCTGGTTGTTTGATCTGTAGGACCTGTACTTGCAGATCCAGAAAGGATATGGAGACTCATTTACAGCTCCATCTCCTGAAGGAAGCCCTTGAGCCTGGGCCAGACTCTCTGATTCTGAGCAACTCTCCGGTCCATGGTTGAAAAAGCTAGTGTCTCCACCAGTTGGCACCAACAAAGGGCCAACAAGTTCCAAGAGGTCACAGCCACATCCAGGACTGGATCTGATCCCTCAGCTAAGCCTCTGAGGCTACGCATGGCTGAACCGAGGGCCACGTGGTCAGACACTACTGCCCCAGTTCCGGAAGAGAGAGAGTTCAGCTATCTTCACCGGTGCTGTGCCTCATGCCTCACAGTTCTCTGATCCTGGTGGAACCCCTCAGCTTCAGGACCAGGATGAGCTTCAGCATCCCCTTCCAAATCTAGGAAGATAGACTCCATCGATGCACCAGAACTGGGGTCATCAGTGCCTTTGGTGTTGTGACAGTTGGCACTGAAAAGAGAGGCATAAGGACACAAAGGGACTGTTAGGTCTAATGCATGGGAACCAGCACTAGTATCTGATTCAGGCAAGGTGTCTACAGCACAAGGTGTCTACGGTACTGAAATACAGACTTTGGTCTGTGTGATGGGTTGGATCACAGAAACCCCCTTGGGGCTGCCAACTGATGTGCCAAGACTACTACTTCTCCTCCTTTCCCTGCCAGCTTGGGACTCCAGCACCCTGTCTTGTTGAGCCAGACACGCCCGTCTGCTCCAACACAAACCCAGGGTCTGAACCACATGCCCCAAAGATACAGACTTGCTTAAAAGCAATTTAAGAAGTGTTCCTGTCTTTAACACACAGATGCCCAACTCCCAATGGGGTCCAAACCCCAAATAAATCCGTTTGACCCTGTATAAAGCTTATACAGGGTAAACTCATAAATTGCTCGCCCTCTAAAACACTGATCTAGAGAGAGATGCACAGCTGCTCCCCCCTTCCCCCCCCCCCCGGTATTAATACATACTCTGGGTTAATTAATAAGTAAAAAGTGATTTTATTAAATACAGAAAGTAGGATTTAAGTGGTTCAAAGTAATAGCAGACAGACCAAAGTGAATTACCAAATAAAATAAAATAAAACACGCGAGTCTGAGTCTAATACAGTAAGAAAGCAGAGTACAGATGATAACCTCACCCTTAGAGGAATTCCAGTAAGCTTCCTTTTACAGGCTAGTCTCCTTCTAGTCTGGGTCCAGCAATCACTCACACGCCCTGTAGTTACTGTTCTTTGTTCCAGTTTCTTTTAGGCATCCTTGGGGATGGAGAGGTATCTTTTTAGCCAGCTGAAGACCAAATGGAGGGGTTTCCCAGGGATTTAAGTAGACTTTCTCTTTTGGGTGGAGACCCCCCTCCTCTCTCCTATGCAAAGTCCAGCTCCAAGCTAGGTTTGGAGTCACATGGGCAAGTCACATGTCCATGCATGACTGAGTTTCTTACCAGCCAGGCCGCATTCCTGGGAAAGCTCCGATGTGGGTTAGTGTCTTCGAGTTCATTGTTGGCTTAAGTGGTTCTTGATTGGGCACTTAATTTGCACATTCCTTTCTCAAGAAGCTGCCCAAATGCTTTACTAGGGATACTTAGAAATACAAGCAAGTATACAGCCAATATTCCTAATGTCAAGTACCAAAATGATACATGCATACAAATAGGAGGAATATATTCAGTAGATCATAACCTTTACATAGATATGTTACATGGCATATGTAGCATAAAACATAGTCCAATTATATCATATATGCATTCATAAACATATTCCCACAAAGCCTTCTGGGGGGCATTGTCAGTCTGCCCTCCGCATCAGTAACGAGGGAGCTGGACTTGCGTATAACACTGGATCCAATATCATCTGAATTGTCAGTTCCACTGTTGGTTCTTGCTTCGGCTTCCATTTCAGCTCCAGCATTGGTTCCAGAAAGTGCTATCACAATGGCAGCCCAGGTTTATCTCCTGACATATATTGGAGCAGAGTCTGAAATGCAAGAGCTTGAAGAGGTGACATGTTTCTCTGATTCCAAGATCCTCTTTTTCATCTCCTGCTAGGAAGAAGAGACTAGAAGATATTGAGTCTCTCTTTTTATGGATCCCTCTATGATCTCTCCTTTTAGCACCCCTGCAGGGTTTCCACAAAGAGCTGGTTCCCCCATATTTCCCACTGGGCCTCTTGTTCCTGGTTCATTCTATCTCTGATCTGGATTTCTATCAAGAAAAATAGAGGAAGAATGCAAAGACTGATAGCACTCTTTGGCCATCCCTTTGGCCCTCCGATGCCCAACGTTTTCCCAAATTGTACTTAATGGGGAGACTGGCAGTCCTGGGCCCATTAACTTATTGGGGGCCACCTCAGGAACTTTTCAGCTACCTTTTGCATAGATAGAGGGGTAATGTCTCAACTACTAAGGATTTGGCAGCCGAGAGTTCCTTGAAATTGATTCTTCCTGATCCGCTGACTTTTCAGGCAATTATGCCTAAAGTTTTGTCCAAGGGAGAAGATGGAGTAGCTCTCCTTTTTGAACAGGAGCAGATGGGTATGGATTATAAGCCAGATCTGTCATCCAAAGAACATGTTGCTTCAGCATCCCCCTCCACCTGAGGACGCTGTGTAGTTCCACAGTCCGAGATACCACATACTTTCCACCTTGAATCTGCTTCAAGTGCCTGTGAAAGAGACTTCCCATTCAGTATTCAATTATCCTTAGTGCTACAGTTAAGAGTAGGATATCCTTACCCATCTTGGATGTACTGTTACAGCCTGCTAGATCAGTTTGTGCCCTTCTGCATCTGGTCAACTCCAGAGAAGATGGACAAACTGTACCAGATACCCTCTGACATTTTTTTTTCTTGCTTTCAAACCATCCTGTGCCTAATTCCCTGGTAATGGCTGCTACAGTAATAGGGCAAAATCTGGACAAAAACACTTCACACCAGCTGATAAAGAAAGCAAAAATCAACTTGCTGGGGTTCTCCTCATCCCTTGGTATTATGGGGGCAAATCATCAAATGTCAGGATGACAGGAGGAAGGTTGGCTAAACTTCCTTCTGAGCCTCCTGTGATGCTTCAAACTCCTATGCAAGAGCATTGGCATCTACCATGCCCTTAGGAGACATGCATGACCTTGTTCCTCATCCCTAGCTATGATACCAGATTGAAGCAGAGGACATCTACTTTAAAGGTGAAAGTCTGTTTAATGAAAAAGCAGACACATTTTTGGAAAAATGTGAAGGTCATGAGATTGACACCTCGTTCTCTGTGCCTAATTTCCTCCACAATAAAGCAAGCCTCCACTCCCTCCTTTCTGGTAGCAGATGCAGTCCTTCCTTATCCTATTTTTCAACAGATCAGATGCAGCAGCAGCAGGCAGTTTCTCAGTCAGTATAGAAAAAGGCCTTTCACACAAAGGTCTAAACCTAAACAACTTGTTTCCTCCTCGTGCAACCTCAAGCCCTGGTTTTGATGAGATGATACACAGTCAAGAACCAGTCAACCAGGACTGAACTATCCCTGTATTTGGAGACAGGCTAGCCCAGTTCGTCAGTCTTTGGAGGCAAATTGCCTTCGACCAATGACTTACAGATCATCAAAACGGGTTATGCCATACAATTTGAAAGATTGCCTCTCCTCACTCCCACCTACCTTATTGTTTCAGGGACCCCATTTATGAGGCAATTCTTATAGTAGAAGTGGAAAAATAGCTTCTGATAGGAGCAGTTGAGGAGGTTCATGAATTCTTGAGGGGTCAGGGTTTTTATTCTCTCGGTTTTCTGGTATGGAAGAAATATGGGAGGTTTCAGCAGATACTAGAGTTAAAGGCATTAAACGGGTACATTTGGAAATATTGGTTCCATAAATTGGCTCCAGCTACCATAATCCCTTTGTTGTTGGTCATGAATTGATTCTTGGCTCTCTAAGACATGTATTTTTATACTTAAGTTCATCAAAATCATCGCAAGTGCCTTTGATTTGTGGTGGCCAGATGCTGCTTCCAGT